TTGAATTCTGAATGGGCTGAACTTTTTTCAATAAATTTTTGAGTTTCTAACAGCATGAAGTATGCAGAAGTTGTTGGATTGCAAAAATTATACAAAAAAAAGAATAAAAAAAAACACTTTCACACCATCATAACTTCCTAAACGTAAACAAGAGGTAAGATTAAATCCTATGCGTTTTGACCATGTTTGGCACAAACTCTTATGTTTCTTTTGTTTGTTTGTTTGTTCCATTTATTTGTTGAATAATAAAACTATGTTTAAAATAAACCTTGTCATGCAATCAAATCATAAATTGCTACCCAACTTCCAAGAAGAAAATGATGGAATTTTGTGCGGTATTTCTTCAGAAATGCTGTACTTTGTACTTTGTATAGGTTAGCATCCATGTAAGTTACCAGGCTTGAATCAGAGAATGTCCACTCAGTCCAACTTTCCATGAACTTAATGATGATGCGAGGAGAACACGTAGATGACAGGAAATCATTTAACGCTTCTTCTTTTGGCTTTCTTCTCTTCTCCTTTCAGTTTAGCTATAAATTCAGCAGTCCAATAAGGTATAGGTTGGAGATGGTAGCCTAGTTAAAAATGGTACTAGTCGTGGCTGAAATGACTCAGATTACTTCAGAAGACACATTCTCAGCTGCTTCAAGAAGTAGGAGACATAAAAACTGCATCCTCTTTGGACTTTTCTTTCAAAGTAACCTGAGCAGCTTATGAGGCTGTGCCATTTAAGATGCAGCTCAGATGCAATTAGGAATCATGCAGCACACCAGCAGCTCCTGCTGAAACTATCTGCTTCAAAACACCCTGAACAATCCATGCAGCATGAAATTACATAAAATGGCACTGCAACACACACCTAGACATGAATGCTCACTTGTCACAGTTCAGGAATGTGTGTAAAATAGCTGTTTTTTTTTAATCAAATAAATTATCTAATGATGTCTCAGAGGAAGAGATGATGGGATGTGACCACCCCTCAGCCTGAAGTGCGGTCACATGATGGCATCCTTCAGCAGCAAGACCTTGTTTCTGTTTTTTTTCATTTTTTTCATTTAGCCTTTATTTATCCAGGTTAGTCTCATTGAGCCACGAGAACTCATTTTCAAGAGAGACCTGTTTAGGGAGCACATGGTGGGGGTTAAGGGCCTTGCTCATGGGCCCAGAGTGGGGCGAATGAGGGTGGGGGCAAGTGTGGGTGTTTCACCTACTCCACCCACAATTTTGATGTTGTCGGGGCCGGGGCGTGAACCGGCGATCTTCGGATCACAAGCCCACCTCTCTAACCTCTGCGCCACCACTCCCCCAAGAAGAAGAAGCAACAGACATTAAAGTGTAAATGCTGCTGCGCTGTTCCTGCCTGCTTAAATCTAATGCGCACACTCAGGTGCACACATTTCAAACACAACTGTGTTCGTACATTTGTATCAACATTTTCCAAAAAATCCATAAATACAATTTAAAATAAATGCTTTGTATTTCAGCTATCTTGCATGCTGGACTTTTACACTGACCACCATGTTGAGAAATCACTTTTAGCCACTTTACTAAAAGCTTAGTGAAAAAACATTCTTCTTATCCTCATGTGATGCACACACTGCCAGTGTGTGTTGTGTACTACTGTCTGCTACTACCACACCAAATATTACTGTTCCATTTTGAAAACAATCCACTTCTGTTTAAACTGCACTTGCTCAAATAAAGTGGAAAAAAGGGAAAGGCCATCTGTGTTTGATAATAGAATAGCTCATGAACCACCAGATGAATTTTAATGGAACTTTCCAAAAGAGCTCATTCGATGTAAATGTACAACTGATTATTTTTAGAGTCAACCCAATTTAAGACGGTCACCGCATCTAACCAACATTAGCTAACACAAATAATGGTTAATTTTACAGATACTGAGCTAAAATTTGATGTGGCAGTAGTTGAGAGTGATTCACAACCCATATTTTGAGCTCTAACAGATCAAGCACGATCTCGCAATAACGCATGACACAAGGTTTAAAAATGTGATGAGAGGTTCATTTCTTACAACATGCCGATCTTAGTTTAAAACTCCGGCATGAAAGCTGCAAGTCAAACACTTCAATGACTTTTTATTGAATGACGTACAAAATGTTTATTATACCGCTTGCATGTGATTACTGTATGAAAAAGCAACAGGCAATCGTATAATGACTTACCACTGAGGTCACTGGTGTCCAGGTGATTTACAGCAGAAAAGCATATGGAAGTAATGACCTGCACGCAGTGGGGGCTTGGGTAAAAGCATGCGCTTAATCTGTGAATCTCCTTGTGATGATAATTTATGTTCAGTCACGCCTCTTTTTTTTTTTCTCAGGCAGGAGGGAAACACTACCATCCACCCTGCGCTCGATGCGCTCGGTGTAACACGATGTTCAAAGAGGGCGAAGAAATGTACCTGACAGGTGAAGCTCAACACTTTCTTTCCCATGCTGGCATGCACTCCCGCACACACCAGTGTAAAAAAAAAAAAAAAAAAAAAAAATGCATGGCATGTGCCAACACCCATCTTTCTTTCCTCATTGTCTCGCTCATCAGGATGTGAGGTGTGGCACCCTTTATGCAAGCAGGCGGCAAGAGCAGAAAGGAGACTCAGAGTGAGCTGGGGTTCTAAATAAAAATGTTTAATCGATTCAAGTTTTCTCACAAGATGCATTTCCTCCTTTTTACCTTTCTTTGATTGTACCTCACAGCACAGACGCCTGTCAGAGACTTCCATCTCCCCTCCCGGGTCTTCTATAGGCTCTCCCAGTCGAGTTATATGTGTAAGTAACCTTTGACCCCACAGTTTTCAGTCACTCTTGGCTGCCACTAGCACTGATCTTAGACTTTAAGCACATTTGCCACACCAGAAACATGAGCACTTCCCACCAGTTTGCACCAGTACATGAGGCCCCTCACTTCCTCGGCCTGTTCACCTGTTTCTGTCTCTGTCGCCATCCATTATGTGGTGTGGGTAATTTGCTTAGTTGCTTATTGTAACAGTTGCTAAGAAAATAAATGCATGTGATGTGCACACTTTAGCTGCATGGCTCTATAGATGCAAATGTTCACCCATTGGTCAGTCTCCTGTTTAGTTTAGATCAGCAAAGTACTTAAAGCTGCATTTCATTTGTACTTTTGAGTTGGAATTTTCAAGTTCTAAGTTGGAAAAAAAAATCACCTGAAATACCACCAGAAGTTGGAATTTTCACCTAAAAATTTTGAGATTCTTGATCAAACTCAAAATCCAAAAAGGCCAACTCGCTCGATTTCAATAACCCAGTCACTCACGTAGTACTGTTTAACCACCGTGAAGATGAAGGTAAAGTATTTTAATGCGCAGAATGCAGAGAAATATTTGAATTTCTTATGGTAGTTAGCCTGGTTACTGAGCACAACAATCAGGAGATGTTTCTGGTTTTCTGACTTGCAACTGGAACACAGTAAAACTGGATATAACATCAGTTTCAACTGAGGGAAACGGCGTTCAGTACAAAATGTTATTTCATGATGAAAGGCCAGTAGCTATGAAGTTTTGGGATAATTTCTATTCCAGATTTCTTTCCCTGTATGGTCAGCTGCAACTTTAGGTCAAGCTTAAAAGGGTTAGGCATGGGTCGGTTTCTGGTTTCATGGTATATCATGGTTTCAAAAGGCCAGTTTTTTTCAAAGTCCACCAAATCTTAACTATGGTTCAAATTTTGTTTTAGCTAAAAAGACCAAGTTCATTGTTTAGAAATGGTACTAAGCCATGGCACAGGCAGTCCTGATTCAAGATTCCTGCCACAGTTTTATAGCAAAAATATAAAGGTTGTGAAGTAGCAGTAGTATTTGGAACAATCAGATCACGAGGTACATCTTTCTTAATTACTGGTTTAAAATACTGAGACAAGTGTACAAGTTTTACCTGAAAAGGCCTGATGGGTGAATTTTTCATTAGTGTTGTGCAAGTTCACTACTTCAAATTTAAAACTGAGCTGAATCTACACTTCTGAAATGAATCGGTTCATGTTCATTTATTATATTTATTTTTTTAATGAAGTCCTCTATTAGCCTATTTATTGATTCACCATAAAGGCTTTGCAGTTTATTTTAACACAAGCAGAACGTTTAGTAGCATTAGCAAATTAAAAGAGAACTTTCATCAGCATTAAAATAATATTACAGGAGACTGAATGTCTAAATATGTCACACTGTGTTTAATAAACAGATGGATAGATGTGCATAGCGCAGATTAGTTCCATTGTTTCAGTAGACGTCAGGCTGCTCAGCAGTCTGCAGAGTACTGCTGTATATGATGGCAGTATTAGCATGTCAGTGCATGTCTGCATGCATGCAGGAGTTACTGCTCTCTGCCCTTCCCTGCTCTGCTCCTCTCTCATAATCAATGACCTTTCTGTTCACTGTGATGGATGAAGGAGAAATGCAGTGTAAGCATGCGTATCGTCCACACTGCCTCCTCCTCCTCTTCCTAACTTTTGTCTGTCTTTGCTTCCTCTGCTTTTCGTCTTACACAAGCAAAGCTCCCGAAGGTCAACAGCTCAAAGTGCTGTCAAGCTCTGCTTTGTCTGTTTGTGCTTGTGTGTGCTTCATCTCACTCACTGCCTCCCCAGTCTTATCTCAGCTGAATGATATTTTTGCTATCACTGGTAGAGTTCACATTGCCATCTGTCAGTGTGCATTGTCCACGTGGTTGATAGTGGGTCTTGTTGCTGTTGTCTCTGTCTTTGGTGGTTGGATGTGGTGTACTCTTTCCAGGCCAGAATGGAGAGTGAGATCCTAGACTATAAGGATCTAGCTGCCCTGCCAAAGGTCAAGGCCATATATGAGGTCCAACAGCCAGACCTCATGTCCTCCTCATACCAGCCGTACCACAGATACACCTCTGATGACAGACTAGACACTTACAGCTATGAAGAGGTACTTACTGCCACACTCATCCCTGATCTGGTTTCAGAATGAGTCAAAGCTTGTGTCTTCATTCACACAATTTGGTTGGGCTCCAACTGCATTCAGAAAGTTGTTGCATTAGTAGTAGTAGGTCCGTGATTACAGCTGACAGGCATTTAGTTTTTCCTAAATGTCTGTAGTGAACATAAATGCAGGATTAGTTGAACATTTGTGCGTTAGCCGAGATTTAACTGAAAAACAATTGTTAGATACTGTATGTGTGCTTGTCAAAGGGATAAGTGGTGGTGCAGAGGATAGAAAAGACAAGCCTGTGATCAGAAGGTTGCCGGCTCGACACCCGAGACCGACAACGTCAAAATGTGGATGGGGAAACCTGCCTCTACCCTTGTTTGCTCCACTCTGGGCCCTTGAGCAAGGCCCTTAAACCCCACCATCTGCTCCCACGGGCGCCCTAGATAGCAGCTCTCTTCTCCACACAGAGGGCTGTGGTAGCTCGGTGAACTGTGGTTGCATCAGGAAGAGCATCCAGCGTAAAAACAATTGCCAAGTCTTCATGCGAGTTAGTTCGCTGTGGTGACCCCTGAAGAAGGGAGCAGCCGAAAGAAGAAGAAAAAAGTGTGGTTGTCAAAGCAAAACATACAATTAACTTTAAAATACCCAACTATGGATTTAATAGATTTTCGGGCTCCCCTTTACTAAACAATGGCCTCCCAGTCCCTTCATTCTCCGTGGTCTACCTGACCAATTAAAACACGTCTAGCTTACAGTAAAGTTAGAAAACCTCTTTCAGTGTAAAGGCATTGATGATGCTGGTTAACTACTCACCACTTCAGGTTTGTCCTGTTTTCCTCATGCTCTCAAGACATCCACTTGCAACCGCACCATATTCTGGCATGTCTCTCTTGGACTTCTTCAAGTTGCATCTACACACTACGATCAAGCATGACAGTATCACTATTGCTATCTTATCTGTGTTAGGTTGTTTCCATGTCCTTGTAAATATCAAAATTCTAGCTATGGGGGCCATCAATGCTAGTACTGCTGCAAATTTTTGACGACCAAGTTGCACCACTTTGGTCTGGGTCCATGTTGTGAATGAGAGACGGTCCATTTGTCACTCTTCCAAATTGTACCTCCACTTGTAAACAGTGGTTGCCATTTAATACCCTCCAGTTGACATTTTGTACCCAATTAGTACAAAAAAATACATTTCTCATTCATTCTCTTTAATGATTAGCTTTTTTTCACCTATATACCTAGACTACCATATGCATGTATCCACATCATATATTGTGTATATTTTAATACTAAACATTTATGATAAACAAGCTTCATGAAACTCCTATGATCATTCAACCCTGTGTATGTAAATATGCATGTATCAGGCATAGATTCTCAGTAGGACTGGTGTATTGAAGCAAATTCTGCTTGTAGAAAATGCACAAACCATTCTTGGGTTGAGAAAGGGTTGAAATGCTCTGAGAAGGTGCTATTTATAAAATTGAGTTTGTTGCAGCACCTCAGACTGAATAAGTCTTGTGGATTAAAGACAAAACATTTCAACAAAGTAGAATCCGTCCAGAGGACCTGACTCAACCTTGTTAGACACAATCCATTCTGTTTGTCCTTTTTGACTAACAAGTTGGACATTTATTGCCTGATTACATATAATAAAACTGAATTTATGTAAAATTATGCTTTAAGATTAGAGATTGTTCAGAAAACATTTGGAGCTGCAACCTTGAATGCCCATACCTAAGCGTATGGGTTTTTTCATCATTATTATCATATTGATGAAAAAAATAAAAACTGATCTAATTTGCTTATACTCATTTAGGTGCATTCCAGTAGAGTGAATCATAAATGTGGGGGTATCTACTGAGGTGAGCCCAAAATGAGCCAGAGCATGAGTAATGTGGACAGAGATGGGCGCGACACAGCCAGTGGAAAACAGCTTCTTTTTATACTCAAATATTACTGGTAGGAATTGACCAACAAATATAAACTGAGCTTGAATCATCGTGAATACGCTGCTGTACCAACACTTCCCTGTGCTCCTCCATACCCCAGTATGCTGAAACCACTAAATTAACCACTGCAATCCCACTGCAAAAGTTTTGTGCAATCTCAAAGTCATACCGTACGCAGGGAGCAGGCATCAATTACAACTAATTTTGTAAATGCGTGACCTTTTTTTGTTGTTCCAGCCTAAATATGATCTTTCTGTTTTCACTGGTTCTACAGTCGCTTGGAACTCTTTCTCCATATTCTCAGGTAAACGTTACAAACAAGTTGTTACATGTTGTCATGGTTGTGTGTCAGTTTGCTGACTGCTCCTTTTTCAACTCAACTCACCCCCCCTTTTTTTTTGTATTTTAGGAGTTTGACATACTGGATGCCAAACAGCGCCGGAGCTCCAGTCCAGGTTACATAGACTCCCCTATGTTCAGTCATCAAGGCATGTCACCCATCATGCCTCAGTCTCCACAGCACTTTGGCTACCCTGGTGAGGAAGGTGGAACTTATCATGAATTGTCCTCAACATGTAATTTTATCCTTTTTGTTCTACAAAATGACCAGACAATAAATATTTTTTAGTTGTTAATGGGTGAATTGTTTCCTAAAATGTCAGTCTTTTACTATAATATTAATCAATCTTTTTTTTTTTTTTGGTCACTTCTCTTATAAGCCACTAAACTTCATATGGTGTTATCTGGAACATTAGATTATAGGTTCACCTCCTCATGATTGTCACTGTACATGTTTGGCTGCCTCATTTGCTGCATTTGTGCCTCAAATGTCATTTGAGCTACTTCTTCCACACTGGGCAAGGTCATTAATAATACTTTTTACTCTGAGTACACATTTTCTCCACCGCACAGGTGAAAATGTAAACAACAATCGTAGCTTTTAGTTTTCTATCTGCATGTGTTGAGGCCTTTTCCCCGTGTTTCCTTTGCTGTGATTGGCTGTGGCTGGCTACAGGCTCTGAGAGTGGCAGGAGTTCACCTTATTATGGCCAAGAGGGGCGATCAAGCACACCCACCTCAAACCAGCCCCCTAAACATTTTCATGTCCCAGGTAGGACTTCTCATCTCCCTCTTGCAACATTCCCAACACCAATGCAGATCATTCAGAAAGTCTGTGACCCATGTGAACATGTATGTGTTCACATGTGATTGAGTTTCATTTCTGTATGACACGCAGTCACTCAGGTATATTATTCTCCCTCGTGTTGTATCTTTACCTTGTTTGGACTTCCTGTGTAACCACCTTCTCATTACATCATCACAGCAGCCATTCACTTTCTCTCCTCTGTTCTTCCTTCATGTCTTCACCTCCTGTTTCTCTCCTCAGCCACTGGGGACCACAACCTCTACAGGAAGCCACCCATCTATAAGAGAACGGGTACAGTGCAGTTAGTCGTGCCTCAGCCTGCCTGTCCTGTCAGTTTAGTCCTCCTGTGTTTGACATCTATTTTTTTTTTATACTCATTGAAGTACTAGTATGCTTTTGCAAAAACTAAACTAACTTTGTAACAAAAGCAGATAAGTCGTGCAAGAGAAATCAGCAATGAAATAAACGTTCGTCTTGCAGAAATTGTTTCCAAACTGAAAGAAAAAATAAAATCTGTCTGCTAAATGGAGATGAGCTACATTTTTGTGAGCATGCCAGAAGCAGTAACATCCTGCGTTTGTCTGTAGTCCGTGACAAGTTCTGGGTGGCAAATTAGAGTGGAGCAGACCATGAAAGAAGGTTTGCTCATGCGTGACAAGTGACACACTGAGAACAAACAAAGAATTAAAAAAACTAACTAACAGCTCACAATGTAAAAGAAAATTATACCAATAATTGACTGAGCAGTCCTTTTTGTTTCTCTGCTATGAGTCGTTAGTTAGCGTGTGATTTACAGGAAAGAACCCGAAGAAAGCAATTCTCCTGATTGTAGAAAGTTGTGTGCAAAGGTAACATGAGGTAACCTTTGTTCACAAGTCATTACATTCAAATGCTGATCAGTATATTGTATGTATTCCATGCTTCAGTGCACAAAAAAAACAAAAAAAAGATTCTCTCTCCTCTCATCACTTAGAGCATATGTGTCAAACTCAACGCCCGGGGGTCAAATGTGGCCCTTGTTGACATCTTTTCTGGCCCCCAAGATGAAATGTTACATGTAAAATACTTATATCTCTTGAATTTTTTTCAGTAATCTTTGATTATGACATTGAAAGCACAACAGAGAACATCAAATGAGATCAATCAAACTTGTTGAGGAACATGTGACCAGGAAAAGATGCTGGGTATCTGATTTGAGTTAATGTAGATTCTGAAATGGGCCCTTAGTTTGAAAAAGGTTTTAATTGTGGCCCCCTTTTGTAAGTGAGTTGGACACTCCTGACTTAGGGAATGCACCTCAATTAGGGAAAACATTCAAACCCACATTCCTACTATCACCTCTGGTTCTCTGTTAGATGAGACAACTTTAAAAATGCCACTAGAACCAGATTTGTGTTTGGACTGTCTTTGTCCTGTTGAGCTCTCTGAATTGTCAAAAATAATAGCTTCATCCAAACATTCATTTTTTTATTCTTAGGCTGATGATACACAGTTATATTTTCCATGAAACCAAATGAATCCAATCAGCTACTTAGACTATAAGGATGTCTTAAAGATATAAAAACCTGGATGACCCTAAATGTTCTGCTTTTGAACACAGACAAGACTGAGGTTTTAGTTTTTGGACCTGAGCAACTTAGGAATTAATCTTTCAGTCTTTCGACCTCCTTGGATGGCATTAATCTGTCCTCCAGTTAGTAGGAGAGATCATATCTATCCAATTTTAGCATATCTCCATTGGCTCCCTGTCAAATCCAGAACTGAATTCAAAATATTACTTCTAACCTACAAAGCCCTCAACAACCTAACTCTATCTTATATTCAATATATTATTGTTACATATTTTCCCAACAGAGCATTTCGCTCTCTGGCTGCAGGTTTACTCGCGGTTCCTAGAGTTTCCAAAAGCAGAGTGGGAGGCAGATCTTTCAGTTATCAGGCTCCTCTCTTGTGGAACCAACTTTCAGTTTATGTCCATGAGGCTGACACATTGTCCAGTTTTAAGACTGGGCTTAAGACTTTTTGCTAAATCCTATACTTAGGGTTGGCTTGTTATGCTGCCTTAAGCTTAGACTAATGGAGAACAAATTGACCTAATTTCTTTAAATGATTTGTTACAATTGAATAGTTTTCATTTGATAGTATTTCTGTCTTAACATGTGATTCTTGACCTGCCATTGTGTATCTGTTCCTACCAAACCCAGCTGGTCAAAGCAGATGGCTGCTTGTCCTGAGCCTGGTTCTGCTAAAGGTTTCTTCCTCATAAGGACATTTTTCCTTTCCCCTGTTGCTCAAGATGAGAGTTCTGCAATCAAGTTAAATTCAAAGCAGTCTCCTCCTCAGACAAATAGTGTTAATTTATTATTTTTATATGAACGTTTCTGTGCAACGCCCTGAGATGACTTCAGTTGTGACTTGACGCTATATACTGTAAATAAACTGACCTGAATTGAATTGAATCACTCTAAAAAGCTTTTCAGCTGAGAGTCACGGCCTCTCTTGACTGATGATTGTTTATCTCTGTTGTTTTTTTTCTTCCTTGCATGCTCCTCTGTTCAGTGTGTGTGGGTTAGTGTGTAATCACCGTGTCACTGAGTGTGTAGTCATTGTCAACGTCTATGTGTTTCTCAGCGCTACTATTAGTTCATAACTGGTCAGGATGTTTCCACATATGGAAATACATTTGCAAATGGGTATTGTGAAGACGTATGGGTTTTTAAATGTGTCAGCTCGCCTCGTTTGACCACTGACAACTCATGTCAATCTAATCCATCCTACTTCTGCACATCGTCCTTAATTGCTATTGATCAGTACTTCCTCTTGTTTCAGCACCAACCAGAGTTGATGCAAAACCTCAAACACAGCAGACACATAAAACTGTGTTGATTTTGTAGACTATAACCAGTTTTGAACTAATCAGTTATAAAGTTTGCTACTTACACTAAAGAAAGGTTGTATTAAAAATATGTTAGAATTTTTTATTGTCCTTCATGTGTGGGTAGCAAAGCTTCTACATTTTCACATCTCCCTCTGGGATGATCCAATAATGTTTCCCTTTTCTTTTTGCCTCCTTTTTATTGCATCCAATCACTTTTATTCACTTCCCCCCACTCCGTGCTCCACTTTACACGGTGACCTTGCCACTGTAAGTATATCCCTCCTCTGGCTGTTTAACTCAGTCTCAGTGGATACACGTGTTTGTCTGTGTGAGTCGCTTCGTAGTAGAGCTAAAACATCACTGAGTGTGTCCGAAAGATGTAAATGTTTAGCGCAGGCCTCATTCTTCATGTATATAGGAATCCAATAGATTGTGGGTTGTGGGGGGGCTGGCATGGCTAATGGCTAGCAGAATGAAGTGTGACATTACACTGCATGTTGCTCCCATTGACATTCATTGACTGCTCGGAGTGCAGAGTGGCCTCAGTATCATCTTGTTGCAGTGCTCGTAAAAAGACTGCGCTGTAACTGAACCCACTTTAATGTGGAAGTTATTTTCCTGCTCTTGGTCAAATATTGATCTCCTCTGACAAGAAAAGTGAATGTGATGACTCTATGATGAATGTTGAGTCTGAAAATCTAGTTTTGAATCTTTGTCACTTTTATTGTACGTGTGCAGGTTTTTTTTAATTTTATTTAATTTTATTTTTTATATGCTTTCTGAAGGCCAAATCCTAAAACGCTAGGAAAAAAAATAATTCTGAAATCAAGATGCACAAACCGGTGCCGGGCTGTCAGTGGAGCAGACATGTTTGTCTGTTGAGCTGGCTTAGCTTGACATAACAACTGAAGGCAACAGGAAGAAGCTAGCTGCTAGCCTGGCTAGCTGCTTATCTTAGCTAAAACCTATTTTAAACAGAGCTTATTGTTTTTCACAGCTTTTGATTGCTTAAACTCTGGTAACACTTTACAATAAGGTACACAAAATTTGATTAACTACTAGGGAACGTCTCAGGAACGAACCAGGAGCTAATGGGCTGGGGAACACACAGCAAAGCTTTATTAGGGGACTACTGGTTTGTTACCACAGAAGCAGAGCATAAATTCTCCAGGTGGGTTCTGAATGAACTCTGCACCAGTCACAGCTCGTAATTGTCAAAAACCTGTTTCCTAGTGATTACTGATTTTGTTGGATTTTCTTTTTTTTTTATAAACCTATTGGTTTAGTTCTTGATTAGTCCCTCTTCGTTTAACCAGTAGTCCCCTAATATGGCTTAGCTGTGTGTTCCGCAGTAAGTACTGGTTAACTATCCATTAGCTCCTGAGATGTTCCCTAGCTGTTAATTTAATTTTGTGTACCTTATTGTAAAGTGTCACCAAAACTCTTGCTGCTAGGATTACTAATTTTAGGATATTAAAATAAGGAGGTCCAGGACTTCCTTCTTTTAAGTTTTAGTCAGAATCACTCCCCACCCCCAGGATGTGAATGTTCTTTGCAGGGTTTTGGCACATGACGGATGCAGTGGACTCTCCCTTACATGTAATAGAATGATAAGGTGGCACTTATTGGGCAGGACGTGTTCCCAAGCAGTATTTTGACAGACTTTCCCAAAATGTTTTCACAAAGTTCACAGGGATTCCTAATTTTCCTGCATGAGCTGCAGAGCCTTGTTCATGCCAAAAATAATTTGGAACATGTTCCAAATAAACAATGCAGCAAATTGTCTTTCAATATGGCCACAACTTTTTGCATTTCTAAAGCGCAAGAGATGTATTTCTTGTTGATTGACATTTGCAGATCCTTGGGGGAAAAAAAATAAGCCAAAGTTTGCACACAGACCCAGTGCGATGCTCCATGCAGGTTTGTGAGGAAACAACAAAGCTTCTGTAGCGAGGTTGTATCTTTTTTAGTGGCAGCCTATCAGGTCTCAGCAAAGCCATAGCATGTCTACAACACAGCTTGGTCGTCATGCCTCATGTCGAGGCTTTAGCCTGATAAGGTTATGGAAGCAACCTGGCGTGATATCCGTAGCAGTAGCATTGTGCTAGCGTGGCATCACCTTGCATAGCTGCATCTTGGTGCAGTCGCAGATAGTTGGTGCGGTCGAAATATTGTCATGCGTGATCATTTTTGGAGAGCCTTTTTATTTTGAGTACTCGGAGTTGTGATAAATTTTGCACTGAAGGAGGTTTTCCTAATTTGCCACAGCCATGGTGTTATATGCTGTGGAGAGTGCTACGGGTGCTTATTACCCAATGTGAAGGGGGCTTTATGAGACAGTTCTGTATTTTAAGCTATATTTGGCAACTATAGCTACTAGCCAAGTAATCATCTTTTAAATGATCACAACAGATTTGTTTCTCATGTTTTAGTGGATGGAAAAAAGCAAGTCACAGTGTAACGTTTTAATCTGAGTGTGACAAGACAAAAGCATAACGTTTCTTGTTTAATCTACAGAAATGTTTAAGTTTTGTCATGAAAATCAAAAAGAAGGGTCTATGTTGAGATAAGCTAACCATCTAAACAGTTCAGACTTTTGACAAACAATCGTTTGGTCCAACTCGATCCATACTTTTCCAGACAATCGTATGGAATCAGCCACAAAAAGCAGAACCAGTGAAGACATCCTCAGGTCCTCCAGTCTGTCCACTTACTCCCCAGAGCCATACACGCAGTCAGAGTCTGACTACTACCCATACACCAGCTCCCCCAGGGGTAAGGAAGCTGCTTTTTATGTGTATTATTTTGTTTTTCTCTGAACCGCACAGCTCATTTTGTAACAGTGTTGTCATATTTATTCATTTTGTTCCCACCCTGAGCTCTGTTCTCATTCAAGGGGGATCTCTTTTATCTCCGTTCTCTCTTAGCCTATCGCATGCCAAGAAGACGCTTCTCAACGGGAGGAGATGAAGAGAGTTGGAGTCAGAGTCTTCAAAGAGTAAGAGCTTCGTTATTTTCCATCTGCTCTTCGTCAGCGTCCAATTAAAGTAGGTTCACTTCGTCTCCCCCCGCTTGTTTGTACCTTTCTTTTTCGCCACTGTCTTTGCTTTAAGGTTGGGAGTGGCATCGGGAGGATGATCCTAAAGGAGGAGATGAAAGCCAGATCTGGTTCCTATGACAACGACCCCTGGGGCAGTGCAAGAAATTCTCGTAGTGGGAGTAAAGAAACGTTGAACACAACAGCCTACGGGACAACGGTGTACAACAGCATCATCAACGGCTGTAAGGGCTCACCCTCTCTGCTCAATCCCCTCCTTTAGTCTGAAGGTTTATGGACTCCTGCGCCTCTGACTGTGTGTTTGTGCAGTTTTTATGAGCCTCTGTGTTTGCTGTCACTTAGGTTGAGCACAGTAGCAGGTCAACGAGGCTCGAATGGAAGTTTATAGAGAAATAGAAGCTGAATCTAAATTAATCAGAATATTTAAAACGGCTGAAACAGCCGCACAAATAACAGACAGCGCAACGCCAACAGAGTTCTCTGGGTTTAAATTGTTTTACTGAACCTGCTGAATGTTGACGCTCTTCTTTTATAGTTTCTGACACCAACCTGCCTTCTGTTAACTACATGTTTTTTTTAACTTTTCACGTCTTTGCTCTGGCTTTTTCACAGTCTCCCTGTACGCCTGGTGTGCTTATTAGACCTTTTTGTCGTATTTTTCTGCTAACAAAACATGCTCTCTGCAGACTAGCCTTCCAATCTGTTCATCCCTCCATCAGCGGCTCGGTCTCACGCTCCTGTACTCACAGCTGTCCTGTTTTATTTATGGCCAGTAAGATCTCTCATTAGAGCTGGTTTTCAAGTTGAAGGAAAAACAAGCGGGCAGGGCTCAGTTGGCTCTATTTACAGGCAAGAAAAAGTTAAACGAGAACCTAAAGCAATCAGTGTTTCTTTTTTAATATTTTTAGCCCGTTAATATTTTATATGCTTCTCGTGGTTTGATGAGTTCCTAATCTGCTCTTTTTTAGTGTCTTTGTTTCGCAAGGAAGATAGTTAACATGCAACCCCTTTTTATTCCAAGATATTAGAATTTATTTAAAACTCAGAAGATGCTGCAGCACGTTTAAAATATAACCAAATACTCTGTTTATCTCACAGCTCCTCGATCTCAGTACAGCATTGATAGCGGTGAGTTCATCTTTAATCTCTTTCTGCAAAAATACATAATTTAAAATTGCAGTGAAATGTTTAGGCTGCTTGCTTTCTCTTTAAGTTGAGGAGTAACAGTTCTTTCTTGTTTATTTGTTTGTTTGTTTTGACTGGTTGAATTATTGTTTTTTTTTTGCTTGCACGACATTCATTCACCTGAAGCTTTGTATTGTGCCACACATCTGGATGAATTAAGCTTTAAAGTTCCTTATTAATGAGCGCCATCTCCTGGACATTTCTGAAACTGCGTGTTAGCCGACATCAAAATCAAAGCTGCTGTTTTTATTTGCTAATCTTTTTTATGCTTTTCTTTTTGGTCTAAATTTTAGATTTTGCTTGTAAGTCAGCCTCTCTATCAGGGTATGGACGCAATGGTATCCAACGGGTGAGACCATTATTACCATGACGACACATTTTTACACAGCTTTTACTTATTCGTTTATTTTTTTTAAACCAATTTCAATACTAATTAGCCTGTTTTCTGCTAAATTCCCATAGCCAATTATTGCAGTTAAATTATAATTTCATTCTGTGCACCTGCAGCCTCAGAGCGCAGATTGTTATCAGTACCAGTATGATGATGGAAGTGAGGTCAACTGGGGAAGCAGAGGTAATTTTAAATTAGCATTTTATTAAATTGAACCAGTTAATCCAATCTCTTTGTCTCGTGTATTTACGTGGCCTTTTCCATTTTCTTTCAGCAGAACACAAGGTAGGGGTTTTAACACGATTTGTAATAATTAGAGGCACTTATAAAACACAGATTACTTAAAAGTGTTGCCTTCTCTTTCCTACAGATTTATCCCTACGAGTCGCTCATTGTCACCACCAGAGGGCGCAATAAGCTACCCAAGGATGTGGACAGAGCCAGACTAGAAGTAAGTCAGGAGTAGAATATAAGGCTTTTTATTGGAACAAGATTATCTCTTTTACAGTTAAGAGACAAAACGTAATGAAAAGCTGGTGTAAAACATATTTTCAAATGTTACAAAAGACAGACAGACAGACACAGGTTAAAATAAATAGAATAGAAACAGCCTTTATTGCCCCATGGATGGGAAATTCAGTGTAACAGCAGCAACAGATAAAAAGGTTCACACAAAAAGTTCCTAAATGTTAAAAACAATATATATAAAAAAAAAAAAATTAATAAAGAAATAAGATAAACAATAGCAATAATAATGTTCAATATGTGTTGGAACATTGATAAGGACAAACTATTTACAATGCATTTTTACAGGCAGAGTGTGTGTTTTAACAGAGGTCAGCATGTATTTAATCCTTATTGAGTTTGTTGGGAGCAGTGATGGTTGTAGAGTCTAACAGCTGCTGGGAGGAAGGACCTGCGGTAACGCTCCTTTGTGCATTTAGGATGCAGTAATCTGTCACTGAACGAGCTCTCCGGTTCAGCAACAGCTTCATGCATGGGGTGGGAGACGTTGTCCAGCAATGATGTTATTTTAGCTCGAGTCCTTCTGTCTGGGCTGTTAAAGTTTCATTTTCAAAAAGTTGCGTTTTGGCTGTCTACACAAAAATGCAAGGCCTGCAAAAGCGTTTTCTACCCTGGAACTTGTTTTTAAACCAAACTATTCTGGGGCTCCTAAACACTTTCCATGTGGATGCAAGACTGAACTGATAAATCCTTATCGTGGCAGCACGATGGCTCAGTGGTTAGCACTGTTGCTTCACAGCAAGAAGGTCCTGGGTTCAATCCCCGGTTAGAGCTGGGGTCTTTCTGTGTGGAGTTTGCATGTTTTTCTCGTGCTTGTGTATGTTTTCTCCGGGTACTCCGGTTTCCTCCCACAGACTAAAAACATGCATGCTAGGCTGCTTCAGGCCCAGGCCTCCCTTGCAAAAGTGATGTCAATGGGATTTGCCTGGTTACATAAAAGTTATTAAATAAATGTGTGTATCCCAAATAAATAAGTAAAATTAAAAAAACATTCCTGTGGACAGGTCCTCAGACACATTCGTAATCGCCGATATGAAATAACGTCGTTTTTCTATTTTTGTTTAGCGCCATCTTTCCCCAGAAGAGTTCACCCAAGTGTTCGGGATGAGCGTGGAAGATTTCGACCGGCTGGCGTTGTGGAAGAGGAATGAGCTGAAGAAACAAGCTCGACTGTTCTAGTCTTGTTTGGACACGTGTTAAAAAACTGCCAGCAACAGAACCTGAGACCTCGCTGCTCAGTTACACTGCCATGTCAGAGAACCTGTTCCAGATGTCCTCAAACGTCAAAACCAAATTCTGCCCATACCTGAGGACTTTTGGGACACCAGTGGAAGGACTGGTGAACCGATTGCCGCTGCAGCTGTTTGCTCGATTGGAGTGTAAGCAATAGAGACTGTCACACTGTAGTGCTGTGCTTTTCACAGCCCAAACGATGGAAGAGGTTGTGACTGTGCGCCCATGTGGACACGAGACAAGCGCCTGTGACCAGAGCTGCAGTACTAAAACACGATGAGGAGGATTTCGGCTTTGCCTTACTTGTTAAGCTCTCATAGTTACGACTGTGCAGCACCAGCAGTCTGAATGAGTAGAACGTAGTCTTTCATTTATGACGCTTGATCAGTGTGAATGATTCAAGAAGAAGAACGAGTGTGAGCATTGACAGCATCTCTTCCGTTTGGCTCGGGATCAAATTGGACTTTTTTTTTTTCCACGTCTGCTCTTTTACATGAAATACACCTGCAAATACAGACAGACAAAATTCTTTTTTGTGACCTTGATTGATTTTGCGTGAAAATAAAAGCCAATGTGTGACCCAACATGTACACTTTAGACGAGCACGTCCATGTAACAGATGTAGCTCCCTGTGCAGCTGTTCGCTAAATGGAGAATGTGCAATTCAATAGTTATTTACAACCCCTGTTTCCAGAGAAGTTGGTATTAGGTAGATAGTCAGTGTCTTCTTTAAATATAGATATTTGAAGTTGATGTAGCATCACCTGCGACGACGGGCAGAAACGTTTGTAGAATATACAGTTCGTATTATTCGGGAAGAGTGCCGCCAAGATAAAAGAAGCATCCACCAAGAAACTTGTTGTTGCTCACTGCTTCGTCAAACTCCATGAGAACATCATCATGTAGTCATGAAAACATCTGCAGTTCACAATATGTTGAAAAGTTTCAGGGAAAAAGAGGAAATGTTGTGTTCGAAGCTAGAAACCACCATGTGGGCATTACGTAACTGGAAACTGTCGACTTTGCACTTTTTTTTTTCTGAGTTCTCGAGGCAAAAGCTCATCTCAGATGGACAGAGTGTGATTTGTGGTCGTATAAGTCCAGATTTTGACTTGTCATTTAAAATAAAGGACATTAAATTCTACAGGATAACGGTTAGAACTGACCATACAGGTTTTTAATCGACACAAGTTACGCCAACATTTTGATGGTATCAGTAATCATGGCATGGGTGCCTTGTGTGAAGATACCAGTGATGCAAAGGTGGATGCTGAAATTTTGGAAAAGATATACTGTTCCAAAAACAACAGTTGTGGATGGAGGAGAAGCTAAACCTTAAAATCTGTGTCCTTCATGTTGTCTTTTAAAATTGGACACAGATTTCCAATTCAAATTTGCAGCAAAGTTGATTGTTCTGATTTGAGAAAACGTTGGACTCCTCTAGATATTAAGAGAAAGATTCATGAACACTCAGCTCGTTGCAGTAAAATTGTGACTTGGAGCACATCCATGAACTTACAGGACTATTATTTATACTATTCTAGAGAGATAATTTAATAATTTTGTAGCTCTGGAGAATATTTTCCCTCACAAAGAAACACTGAAACACACCCATGTTTGTTAGACTTTACTTCCTTGGAATACTGGTCTTTTTGATTTGACACTAAAGTTTTAACTGCAACTTTAAATCTGTCTCCTCTCTTTTATTTATAACATTTGTCACGTGTTGAACTGCTTTTTCTCCCCTTTAAACTGTTGTGCAAATTTGCTTCACATCTGGATATGAAAAATATTACGACAATATGTCACTTGGGAGAATAATAATAAAAAATAAAAAAACATGGTTTGAAAGGTGTTAAAATACAAAATGTACAACAGCTTGCCATGAGTGTCCATGTGTCTTGTGTAGTTTGTGTAACTCATTAATCATGGCGGGCACATGAAGGTTAAACTACACCTGGTTGGATGAATCACAGTTTATAACACATCATGACTGGCCAGATGTGGATGCAGAATTTATACAAGAAAAAAAAAAAAACATGGCAAGTGGACACTAATGGAAGAAGACAAGTGGACAGAGGCAGTGTAAAGCTTTGCTGGTGATCTACTGGAGCATAATAGATCTGGGGATGTTTGTGTTTAAGACTTACCACCAGGGGTGCACCCATTGCAGTTTTCTGGACGATCACCGATCTCTAAAAAGTCTGACCTGTCGATTCCGATTTTGTCCGATACCGGATTTGTTTTATAAGCGACACTAAGGTCACGATACGCCTTCAATTTTCCAATATTATTTTATTGAAAAACATGCCCTTGAACAATATCCTAGAAACAATACAAACTTGTTTAACTGGCCACGAGGTAGTGCTCTGAAATATAAATGAAGTTTAGACAATTGTTCTTAAAACATAAAAAATCTGTAAAATCGGTTTCTCATGTAAGTATCAGCCGATCGCCCATTAAGGATATCGGGCCGATTTATCGGTGCACCCCATTTACCACCGATCTAAACATTGTTAAAAACCTCAGATTATCACCACAACTGTGTTGGGCAGTAATTTCTTTCAGCAACACAATATTTCCCAGGAAGTGTAAAGTGGTATTACAGTCACTGTGCGAGAGATGGGGGACACCCTGGACAGGTCTCCAGTCCATCACAGAGACACTTGGAGACAAACGAGACAAACATCCATTCACTCTCTCACTCACACCTAGAGACAATTTAGAGTTACCAATCAACCTAACATGCATGTTTTTGGGCTGTGGGAGGAACTGGAGTACCCAGAGAAAACCCTCATGCATGAACAGAACATGTGAACTCCACCAGGAAATGCCCCTGGCCTGGATTTGATCCAGCAACCTTTTTACTGAGAGGCGACAGCTCAAACAACTGTGCCACCTGTAATGTGTGCCCCTCTAATGTACAATCTGGTAAAAAAAAGAAAAAATATATATATATACTTTGTATATATATATATATATATATATATATATATATATATATATATATGTATATTTAAATTTTATAGGAGAGCATTTACAATATGTCTGAGTATGTTGCAATATATTCTATTCAAGACAGTCTGTAATAAATTGTATTAATTATGAATGGGGAGCTTTTCTATTTCAATCAATATGACCACTCATGACATACTTCTCCTCTGAGAAACACACGTTGTGTTTTTACTTTTTAAAAGCCAAAGTGTTGTATCATGTTGTAAATGTGCTGTATAAAACGGGGAGTGGTGGTGCAGAGGCTAGAGAAGGTGGGCCTGTGACTGGAAGATCTCTGGTTCAACTCCCAGTACCAACAACATCAAAATGTGGGTGGTATAGGTGTAGCACCCACACCTGCCTCCACCCTCATTTGCCCCATTCTGGGCCTTTGAGCAAGACCCTTAACCCCCACATCTGCTCCCCCAGGTCCCCCACTGTGACGATCCCAGAAGAAGGGAGCAGATGAAAGAAAAACAGCCCCCCCCCCCCCCAACAAAAATAAATAAAAACTATAAACCACTGCCAACAACTCATCAAGTAATTGCCAAAGGTGTTTTTGACATGGTGTCAATTTATTGCCAGAATTAAAGCAAAGTTCTGATCAACATCAGTTATACCAGAAACAAACTCTCTGCAATATTTATTATCAGTCTGTCATTGCTAAATGGTAAAAATGTAATTAATATCCATCCATCCATCCATTATCTTTACCCGCTTATTCCATTTTGGGTCACGGGGGTCGCTGGTGCCCATGTCCAGCAATCACCGTGCGAGGGGCGGGGTACACCCTGGACGGGTCGCAAGTCCATCACAGGGCCACATAGAGACAAACGAGACAAACAACCATTCACTCTCTCATTCACACCTAGGGACAATTTAGAGTTGCCCATCAGCCTAACATGCATGTTTTTGGACTGTGGGAGGAAACCGGAGCACCCGGAGAAAACCCACGCATGCACGGAGAGAACATGCAAACTCCACCCAGAAAGGCCCCTGGACCAGGGTTTGAACCAAGGACCTGCTCGCTGAGAGACAGCAGCTCTACTAGTTGCGCCACCGTGCTGCCCATGTAATTAATATTTTAGTTTAAAAAAAGTCTCATTAGTCTTTACTTGGGCAGCACGGTGGTGCAACTGGTAGAGCTGCTGCCTCTCAGCGAGCAGGTACCTGGTTCAAATCCCAGTCCGGAGGCCTTTCTGGGTTGAGTTTGCATGTTCTCTCCTTGCATGCGTGGGTTTTCTCCGGGTTCTCCGGTTTCCTCCCACAGACCAAAAACGTTGCATGTTAGGCTGATTGGTAACTCTAAATTGTCCCTAGGTGTGAATGAGAGAGTGAATTGTTGTTTGTCTCGTTTGTCTCTATGTGTCCCTGTGATGGACCTGCGACATGTCCAGGGTGGACCCCGCCCCTCGCACAGTGATTGCTGGACATGGGCACCGGCGACCCCCGTGACCCAAAATGGAAGAAGCGGGTAAAGATAATGGATGGATGGACAGATGGATGGATGGATGGACGGACGGACCGAGAGTAAATAATTCTCTGCTGTGCCTCACTCATGTATTGACTCATGTACATACTAGTATTCATCTTAGTTACTCTGATCCCTGACTTGTGCTTCCATATTGTAAAGAGGCAGGTCATTTGTTTGTAATTGGATAGAATTGCCCTTTTCTGAGGACCTGACTTGATTGGGACTTTCTGGTCTTAGGTCAACCACTCTGGGTGAGTCTTGTCATTAGTAGCTGTCTCACCTGTGCTGCCAGGCGTTCATTGGGAGGAGACAGTTCCTTTAGCCCATATGTGCGGATCATGTCAGGTCCAGGTGCAGTTTCATACCTGAAACTCTATCTTGGAAGACTGGTGCTGTGATGAATACTGGTTCTTGTTCAGGGCGATTATGCGTTCAGATGTGCTCAGATCTTGTAGCCATGGGGCTTTATCATTGTGTGATGTCTTCTTTTCTCTTATGTCTCTCCATTATTGCTCTGCCTCAGCTTTGGGTGGGTCTTTTCTTGTGTTATTCATTAATTCAACCTTTATTTATACAGGTTAGTTTCACTGAGCCTCGGGGACTCAGTTACAAGAGAGACCTGATTTTAACAAAGAGTGATGACAACAGTAGGGAGTTGTAAAGTGAAAACAGGAACATCTCTGCATTATTTTTTCCATGAGCTTAGAAGAAGTTTGAAGCCACTTAGAGAGGTCAAGGTCGAGAGCTTCAGATCTTTTGCAAGATATTCCAGGAAACAAGAGCGGAGTAGGAGAAGGCCCTTTTTGCCTAGTTCAGTCTGCACTGAAGGAACACTGCAGGTAATAATGTCCTGAGAGTGCACGCTGTAGCTGCACTCATGCAGTGATATGTAGGAGATGTAAGAAGGCATCAGACCAAGGAGTGATTTAAAGATGAAACTGTACCAGTAAGTCTATGTGAAGTTAATCCATCCATCCATCCATCCATCCATTATCTTTACCCGTTTATTTCATTTTGGGTCACGGGGGTCGCCGGTGCCCATGTCCAGCAATCACTGTGCGAGGGGCGGGGTACACCCTGGACGGGTCGCAAGTCCATCACAGGGCCACATGGAGACAAACGAGACAAACAACCATTCACTCTCTCACTCACACCTAGGGACAATTTAGAGTTACCAATCAGCCTAACATGCATGTTTTTGGTCTGTGGGAGGAAACCGGAGTACCCGGAGAAAACCCACGCATGCACGGAGAGAACGTGCAAACTCCACCCAGAAAGGCCCCTGGACCGGGGTTTGAACCAAGGACCTTCTCGCTGAGAGGCAGCAGCTCTACCAGTTGCGCCACCGTGCTGCCATGTGAAGTTAATGATGATCAATTAACCAGTGAATACAGGATGCAATGGTGGGTATGATAGTTACAGCCAGTTATGAAACTTAGTACACCATGATAGGCAGCATTCAACATTTGCAAGGTGCTTGTAGGGGTGTTCATGTAAATAATGTCACCGTAGTCAATGGAGGGAAGGAAAGTCACACTTACAAGGCATTTCCTAGCATTCAGAGTTAGACAGGGTCTATTTCTGAAAAAGAAACTCAATTTAGCTTTCAGCTTCCTTACTAGGTTTTCCACGTGGAGCTTAAAGAAAAGATGCAAATCGACCAAGATACCCAGATATTTATAGGACTCGACAAACTCAATAGGGACACCATTCAAGGATCAAATCGAAGGAAGAACTGCTGGGACCAACTTCCTGTTTGAAAACAACATCCCTTTGGTTTTGTTGGCATTTTGGACAAGTTTGAGACAGAACAAATCTGACTGGATGATGTTGAAAGCAGACTGCAAAAGATGGAAAACTTTAGCAACTGTTTTAGCTCAGCAATAAACAACTGTATCGTCAGCATAGAAATGTATGGATGCATCAGGGATGGTCTGATCTACATTATCTATGTAGCTTGTGAAGATGGTGGGACCTAGGACTTAGCCTTGAGGTACACCATTGTAAACAGTTAACTCTAAG